CCGTATGAGTTTTTGTTTTCTCGGCCTTTTGGCTAACATCAAAATGATGACAAAATTTAACGATACGAATTTTCACGTTTTTTTTTATGAGGAAGCTCTTTGCCAATGAATTGGCAGCGGTTTTTCCCAGTGTATTTCAAATTTATTGAACATAGCTACCGCTGCTTTTATTTTCACACGGACCCGTGAAAATGTTCTTAATTAACATCGCGTTCTTTTACCAAATTTTTTTTTCTGGCCTTGTACTTCTTCATTAGTATATTTATAAATTTTCGTCGCCTGAACAAGACGTCAGCGCAGACATAAAATAGCAGAATCTTTTTGAAAACGATAAAAAAAAAGAGAAACTTTAAAGAGCTTATCGTTTCCGTACGATTCGTCGGCCATTGACAAAGTTTTTCCTCTTTTTCTTTCGCTCCCGCTCACTTCTATACGTGCCGTTGGAGAAGCTGTACGTATTTATTTTTGCCCCCGTCAAAAAAAAACTCGAGACACAGTGCTACTTCTGCCTTCAAAAGCTCGTTTGAGATATCGTCAAAAGACACGTGCTGTGCGAAGGATCAAGCGAAATTTCGACGTACGGCTGCTCATTCGATCGAAAAAAACACCATACATAAAATTAAGGAATCGACGAGCCACGCCGTGCATGCTATACAGACTCCGCAACGCTGCTGCTGCTGCCGCGTGCAGGTACGCTTAGACGTGTATTCGGAAATGGATGCTCTAATCGTGAAAGCTGCACTGCAGCAGCAGCGCGAAGAGACTCTCGCGTACGCAGGGGAGCTTTCAACTTATCGAGCATTATGTAAATATATATATTTTTTTAGCACAAAGTGAAGCGAACGCGAGTGTATTCATCAGCGAGGATCGCGAGCTTTACCGGAACGAACATTATATGCATATCGATTCGAAATATAGTGCACATAAAGAGGCATCCCAAAGTATTGACGTGCACGCGCGTGGCTCCGGAGCCGAACTAAACGAGGAGAAAACAAACAAAAAAAAATACGAAAAAAAAACAGGAAAAAAAGAATCGAGTAGACAACTTGCGCCACGTCGCACGCGGCACATATATACAGTGTATATATAAGCGAGCGCATGGTGCGGAGAAGTCGCACGTACGTATATAGTGACTGTGCGTGGCTACGGATAATAATTTTGCTCCGAGGCTGCCGTGAGATATAAAAAAAAAAAAACGAAACGAGCGGCGGAAAGTTGGCAAGGAATCGTCGAGGTCGTATAATATCGGTACCTCCGTGGCCTATAGCTCGTGCCATTTTTCTCCTCTCTCGCTCTTCTTTATATATGTATATAATACGATCATTGGGGGCCTAGCCGACGATGTACCGGCGAACGAGGGCCATAAACATCGGAGCGCAGGCAGTACTGCAGGAAAGCCTGCCGCGAACGATATCTCCGATACGTAAACCTACCGCGTTCGGCACGAAAATATGTTAACGGCTTTCTGCGCGAGTCTAGGCGCATGAACGTGCGGCGATGTCTAGGCGCGACTTTGGTGCTGCAAACTCGACGTGTGCTATATATCGACGGATGTGTGTATTTGCATCACACCTGGTTGATTCGTTCGCTAGGCTGCTGCTGCATGTATATTTCTCTCTACGTACGACGCGCTCTCAATGCGAGAAAATTGAGCAAAAATCCTAACGTCGGAATACATGGAAATTTATTCGCTTGCTGCGATGCAATGCGCGCAGTACGTGTGTTATATAGGTATATGCTATGCAGCAGCAGCTCGATATTGGATCGATAAATGGCATGGGGGGGGGGGGGG